AAAAAAAAAAGACCCCTCAGCTGGACACAATGGCTCTCACCTATAATCCTAGCACTTTGGGAGTCCAAAGCAGAAGAATCACCAGAGCCCAAGAGTTCAAGACCAGCCTAGGCAACCCCAACTCAAAAATATAAATTAAAATAAAATATTTGTCTCTTGAAGTCACCTAGATTCCTGATGTAAAAATGCAAAAATAGTACTGTGCTGACCTAGGTAGCACAATGCTGGGGGGACCATTTCTGTTGGCCCCTTCCCTTTCCAGTATCTGGATGTGACCTGTTTCCTTCCAACAGGGGTCGCCAGAGGCCATAGGGACCAAGGCCAGGCTTCTAGGAGGTGGCTCCAGGAAGGCGGCCAAGAATGTGAGTGCAAAGGTCAGTAACTCAGCATCAACAATTATGATGGCATTACCATGACCCCAGCTTTCTCCCTGGGGCCCCTCTGAGACCAATGCAGATGTTATCTCAGCTGACCTCACCCATTCCCCTCTCCACCAGCCTGCCACATGCAGCACCCGTGCCTGCTTTCTTCCTGACAGTCAGGCAAGAACTGGACTCCTCCAAGGTCTAGGGAAAGCCCGCCAAATGTCAAGCTGCCCCCTGCCCCTTATCCATTTCCTGAAGAACCCAGGGCTACCGTCCAAAAGGCTTTTTATTTTTTCCTGGCCTTCCAAAAGCTTCCTGAATCCTATTCTCAGCCTTGTTTTACTCACAGGCAAGGCTGAAAGCAGAGAGGCAAAATGGCTTATCCGAGGGAAGGCAGCCACTGGAAGGCAGACACCCATGTCTTGCTCCTAGTTCTTTGGATTCATGATATTCTGATACACCCTTTGAACCTGCCACCAAACCCTTGGCCAAACAGGTCAGGAAAAACAACTCAGAAATACTGGCTTCAAATAGCTGGATGTCCCCACTATTCTGAATTGATCCCTTTTCCCACCCCACTGCAGTAGAAATGCAAGGCCCAGAAGATGCCAAGTAAAGCTCTGTCCTACTCCCTCCTATCAAATCTATTAACTCTCCCATCTAAGCAGCAATGCTATTATTTCAGATTGGTTCCTGAGAGGCCCTAGAAGAAAACTCATGACAGCATCTGTGCTGCCAAAGAAGCAGTGTCCCTGTGATCATTTCAAGGGCAATGTGAAGAAAATAAGTAAGTTTCCAGAGAATGATTTTCCTTATACCAGAGTCACTCCGTGGAATTACTAGGGATGAAGCATGGGTTGAGAACAGAAAAAAGAGGTGAAATTAAGACCAGGATAAGTACACAACTCAGCCCTTTCTACTCAGTGTCAACTTGCCAGGAAATGGGAAGAGCAGGAAAAGCAGGATACAATTCTCCTGAGACTAGAAAGGTTTAACCAAATTCTTAGATTTTAAAACCTCACTGTTTACCAAAGTGGGGACAGATGGGGCTGCTGAAGTTCTGGTCATTAGTCTCTGATGATTATACCAGTATCAGCATCAAACAGAATTTGACTCCTCCCTGGTTCAAGATCAGCCTGGTCAACATGGCGAAACTCCATCTCTACTAAAAAATACAGAAATTAGCCAGGCATGGTGGCACACACCTGTAATCCCAGGGAGGCTGAGGTAAGAGAATCACTTGAACCCGTGAGGTGGAGGTTGCAATGAGCCGAGATTGCACCACTGCACTCCAGCCTGGGCAAAAAGCAATATTCTAAAAAAAAAAAAAAAAAAAAGTGAGATATCACTGTACAATCATCAGATTGGCCAAAAGTTTTAAGTCTGTGACAAAAGTCAATACACATCAAAAACATGTAAAGTCTAATAAGATGAAGCATTGGCACAGTACAGCAAAAAAACTCTCATATGCTGTTAATGGGAGTGTAAAATTGCTGGCAGTGATTTACTAAAGTTTAAGCTAGGTGTAGTCCCGTGACTAAGCAATTCTACTCTTCTACTCTCTGGTATATACTCAAAGGGTATATACGCTTCAATCTACCAGAGACATGTAGAAGAATTTCATTGCAGCATTGCTCATAACTGCCTCAAACTAAAAACTGACCAAACATCCTTCAATGGTAGAATGAATAAATAAACTGTGGTACTTAGAACATCATATATCCATGAGAACGAACAAACGTAATAAAATTAATGATTCTTACAAACATAATATTGAGTAAAAAAAAAATAAGACATGAGTGAATCACTATAGTATGATTTTAGGTACTGTCTTAGTCTGCTTGCTTTGCAGAATAACATAACAAAATACCATAGATGGAGTGATTTTACAAAATAGAAATTTATCTCTCACAGTTCTGGAGGTTGGGACGTCCAAGATCAAGGTGCCAATAGATTGTCTGGTGAGGGCCTGCTTCTTTTTTTTTTTTTTTTTTCTGAGACAGAGTTTCGCTCTTGTTACCCAGGCTGGAGTGCAATGGCGCGATCTCGGCTCACTGCAACCTCCGCCTCCTGGGTTCAGGCAATTCTCC